GGTATGTCACCTGCAGAGTTGATGTTTGCCAGGAAGATTAAATCTGTATTTAACAAATTATTACCAGAACAGAAGATGTGAACATCAAGGAATAAAAATAATATAAATAAATATTTTAAACCTGGTGATAAAGTGTTTTTTAAAATGTACCAACATGGAAAGGAATTCTGGGAAGACAGCATTATTAAAAAACGGATTGAAAAAATGACATACATGGTACAGGGAGAAAGGTGGGAACATAAGCAACACATTAAATCAGTTAAAATGTACATTAACTGATTTAGTAAATCCACAAAAAGAGCTACCAATGGAAATATTGTATGACATGTTTGACATACCCACTCCACTAGAAATTAGTGAACCAAGGAGGTACAGTAAAACAAAAAGAACAGCAACAGAACATTTGAATATTGAACTGAAGCTGAAGAAATATAAACTCCAGAGGAAGTCATCTCAGAGGGGAGGTATTATATAGGAATAAAGTGTCACTGCCAACACCTGAGTTTGAACATTCCAAGTGAGCAAACACAGGCAATCCAATTATTGAATTAAGTCAACTATGTGACCATAGAGGAAATGCAAATATGGAAGGTAGCGTGACATCTATTACTATTTGGATCTGCATTTCTAGTCTATCCTTTATTACTATTTGGATCACTCTTTCTTGTCTATCCTCTATTACTATACGGACTGCAAGTGATATTCAAAGGCATATGACACCAGCATTGTTCATCGGCATACTATAGTTGAATCTGTGATTACAAAGTCTTTACTACAACAAGCATTATGAAAGTGGCAACATGTATTTGTTGACATCACAAAAATTAATTTCCTTTCCATGTTCACAAAATTTCAAAAAATATTGATTCTATCAAGTGATATGATATATAATTTTGTATAATTTTATATATCAGCAAACAGCATTTTGAAAACAGTGTGTCATATTTTTTCTAAATACTATCATATAAAATCTTTGACAACTAGCTCTATGAGTGGTAGAAAACTTCTCAAAGCAGATAAATTATAGACCTAGTGAAGACCAAAGAACTGATTTGCCAATATGTAGCAATAAAACCAACATGACAGAAAATATTCCTCTCAACATTTGCACAGAATAGTAGAACAAAGCTTTTGATAAATAATTCAAAAATATCAAACAATATTTATACTTTTAGCCTTTTTAAACAGATTTCTGTGAATGCCTGAAACCTCTCTACAGAAACTATATAATGCTACCTTTATACCAATATCCTTTTTCCTCATATAACAAGCAACAATTAGTAAGAGTAAATCATCTATACAACATTAAGTTACACTTTTCTTCAAAATCTAACAAAATTATGTACATTTTCCAAATGATAATACAAATGATTTTACAACTGCTGTCAATCACAATTGTATATTCTAAAGAGATTAAATTTTTATAAAATATATATTATCTATAAATATGAATTATTTTCAGCAAAATTCAACCTAGCAAAGTTTATGACAAAGTAAAATCAAAACCCATCACCCTAAGTTAAAAGCTTCCAAAAATTTCATAGCAAATCATTTTTAAAAGTGTTTACTACTAGATAATATTAAAAGTAAACCGGAGTACATCAATATGATATGTAAATTAATTTCATACAGAGAAGATAGAGGATAATCAATAAAGTTTATTTGATTAATAATCACTGAAAATTTTCATAGTTGTTCATTTAAGAGAAAGAACAGAAGCCAAGACTGGAATCATGCCATCTGTAATTTGAGTTAATCAGAGCTGTTTTTGTAAAGATCTAGAATTTTCAGAGGAATTTGAAAGTAGAACAGATACATCAATAATTAAAATTTAAAACAGTGAATAAAATAATGATTCAGGTGATGAATTTTAAAAACAGCTTAAAGCTAAAAATATTAATAATAAAATAAATACAAGTAAATAAATTACTTAACAAAATGTTTTAAATTCCAAATCTGGATACTTTGAGAAAATACTGGAACAAACTTGAATATTGTGTGTGTGTGTAAGGCTCTACGTATGTCACATGAATACATGCAATATTATAGAACCACCAACAACCTATGCAAGGTCTTGTTGATAAAAGAAAACTATTTCTTCATGAGGTCTGCTATCATTAGTCTGAAACAAAGGTAACAAAATCTTATCAGACCACACCACTTCTCACATTGCCACATCTTGAGAGTTCAATGAACACCACAAACTCAGATAAAGCACTGTGTCCAGTGCTGAGGTGTTAACTAGGTAGCCCAAGTTAGTCTTGTGCTTCCATATCTCATGAAAGCTGAAAAATGCTGAATTCACCTACTAGATATGCATCTAGTACCTCTTACATTGAATGTGGCTGTGAGATATGTCACTTGTTACCACAGTCAATTCTAACCAGAAGACCTCTGGTTACAATCCATGTTTTGTTACTGTGCTGTCCACAGTGGGTAGCAATGCCTTCGATCATGTATCCCCAATAAATATAAGACATTGTAAATTGAGTGATATCAAATATCCCCATAACTTCAGAAGTGAAGTTTTCTATTCATATGTCACCTACTATTATACCCCATTCAAAATTCAGTAATTCATACCACATTGCCATAAGTAGACTCACAACTGTGTTTTTGCCAAATGTCATCAGAGCACAGCTGATATAGGGTGAGGCATATCTATGAAGCCTAGTTACAGTGACACCACTTAACATTATCTCTGCATCATGTTGTCCTACAATTTTGACACAGCAGTGTATTGCTCATGTGTGTGTGTGTGTGTGTGTGTGTATATATATATACACATACACAGACAGACAGACACAGTGTGCGATGGGTAAATTGTCGCACATTTTATATTTTTAATTCTGCACAAATGCTTTCTTTGTTTTTGATTTTGTTAACTGCATAGTATAGTAGGGGCAGTTGGGTAACATCTGTGAGAAAAAGAGTAACATGACACAATCCACTCTGCCAGAAATTTGTTAACGCCATGATGTGCTGCTTGACATTTGTACCAGAAGCTCCAATATGAACATTGGAGAGTGTTTAGGGTGTCAATTTGAGGACAGTGCAGAGGATTCAGAAAGAGTTGGATGAGTTATAAAGGTACAGCAGCTCAGAAAACTCACTCTGATTGTTTTAATAAGAAAAGAACTTCCAAATTTGTTGATGATAGTTTCAGACTCAACACAGAGGCTGACATCAAGTGCCTTGAGGAGGTAGTGCTACCCTGGGTCAAGAGGGTGGCTGCTGGAAGACCTTATGTCTGGAAACATGCCACACAAGCAGGAGAACACAGTCTTGGCTGTCAGACAATCACATCACCCCTTACATCTGGTCAGCTAACTCCCCAGACTGCACCCCCTTGATTATTTATGTGGGGGGTACAGCTGAGTGAGAGACCAACAAAACTCCTTTTAACTCCAAAGATGAACTGAAGGCATAGGATTATGGCAGCATTCACCAACAAGGAGACTGTCAGAAGAGTTGCAGGAGATTCTGAAGTCATTTGGAGGCTGTGGGTGAAGCCAAGATGACCGAGAATGACCTATATATATATATATATATATATATATATATATATATATATATATATATGAGAGAGATAAAATTTAGGATACAAAAGATTTTTATATATAGTGCTCAATATTAAAAATATTAAAATATTAAAAATAGAGTATTAATAATATTCTATAAAAAGATCACTTTTAATATATTTTTTTTATTGTTTCCTCCAACTTTGAAGTTTCTTGGTAGATGTCCATTCTTCAGAAGGTTCTGGTTTTAAATGATATTTCCAGTTTGTTCCGCATCTTTTTCAATCCATTTTTTACAGTTTTATGCACATGCACATTCATGAATTTAATGTTCTTTTACACACACACGCACACATTCATGAATTTTAGCTTTTGTTCACGTCCTCATTTTTTCAGCTGTAAATTTTTCTTCAAAATTAAATTTTTTTATGATTTATATAGAAATTGTGTTATATTAATTAAATTGTAATACTGGTTAATTTGTATTATTAATTAAATTATAATATATTATGTTGTATTTGTATTATTAATTAAATTACAATATTTTATTTGATTTATTATGTTATATTATTATTAAAGTAACAAAGTAAATTAATATGTCATTACCAACATATTAACAAATATTTACTATATTTAAATATTTAATGAAAAAAAAACAAGCTAACTTTCTTTTTAAAAAGAAAAAAATACAGGCCATGTGTTCTATTTGTCTAAATAGCCATTAACAGATCTTCACCAGAGAGCCATCCCAGATTATGTTCATTCACAAAGCCAACATACACATGACTATACATACTTGCTTAGAAAATATTACTATATAAACTAGATAAAATCTACCAATCAAAAATACGTGTTTTATTAAATGAAGTTATGCATATCAATATACAATTATGATTAATTTTCTCTCTATATATTTTTATATAGCATTAATGTATATGCACACAGAATGTTTAAAACATTGATGAGTATATGACAATATTAAAATGTCATCTATGATCTATAAAATCTTTAAATGAATTATTAAACACTAAACATGATATCATAAAGCAATTTGCATAAGTTTGTAGGTAGATGATGAGTAAAAGAAAAAAGATTTCTTTTGGTCCTTGACATAAAACATAGTTCTGAATTTTTGATAGAAGGCTTTTAAAATGTTTAGCCTATCTTATTAAATCATATTTTCAGAATCAAATAAAAAAAAAATAAAACAAGCAAGCAACATGTGAGAAACATTTTTACATGAGAATTTCCAATATCTCAAGAGGAAAGAAGGTTTGTAGCAAACATGTGTCTTTGCTCTCTTCACAATCAATGCACACAATCAAGGGGGAATAAATTCAACAGCATTCAACCTTGAAGACACCTCATAATGCATCAACACGACCAACATTCAAATGGATATTCATTCAGCTCCTGGGCACTCAATTAATCAATAATAATTTTAATGATAATAATGGTAATAAAAAGGAAAAATTATCCTTACTTTTTGCCTTCAACACAATACAGTTTTTTCAGTTCTGCCACCTGTGACCTTGCAACTTCAAAATCAGCTGCTGTTCTGTCAACGGTGCGCTTTAAAGCCTCCAGCTAAAAAAAAAAAAAATTATCATCATCTTTGTAATCAGCTTCAATATCAGCAAGATTCTTTTTAAAAAAAGTTATTATTTTGCATTATATCTCTTCTGCAAAACAATTCATTTGATTAAAACAGTCAGGATTGAATTTTTTTTTAAAAATCTATTATATTTATTCTCAATCAACTCAAGTGTGTGTGAGTGTGCATGTGCGTGTATCTAAATATGTGTGTGTGTGTATGTGTGTGTGTGTGTGTGTGTGTGTATGTACATATATATTGAAGATAACAGATATTTTGGGTTAATTAAGTGCAATGATTAACTTTTCCAAATTACAAATAATCCTTCTAAAAAAAGGAGGAAATTCCATCAAAAACTGTCCAAGGTCCATTTTCAAAGAAAAGTACAAGAATTATAGTCCAAGCTTTCAACACTCTTAAGTCATCATCAAGGTAGTGTTATAAATATGCATGTAGTTGTAAAAAAACAAACAACAGTTCTGCCATTGAGGTGAAAAGAAAAGCACAAAAGTTGTAAATATAAAATTCTCTTGTATTTGCCAATATAGCAGATGTGAGCAGAATGTCTATGTCTGTGAGGTGTGGTAACTTTGGATGTGGATAGAGTTGGTAAGGTCTAAACTTAATGTGTTTGGCAGGTCACTTGATGATGATGAGATGCCTGGAGTGGATTAATGATGCTTGATCAATCAGAAATATGTTATTTTCAGATTTTGGTTGGATGGGAAAACAAGTGAAAACAGCACTAACCAGTCTGTGAGGAAGCATGAAAAGATAACAAAATTGTTGATATGTGGTTCTTTAGTGGCCATCACAGAGGATGTGTAAGGAAGGCAATTTTGAAGGAAGGTGAGTCTTGACAAGACCTGGAGTTGATAGATTAAGAGAGGCCAAGAGTGAATTAGTGAAGCCACAAATTTGACTCTGCTAACACAGAGGATGCAAGCAGAATGTCTGTATTTGAGCATGGTGTGGGTGTTTGGAGGTAGGTGGGTCTTGAATGAATGTGTGTAATGGGTCAGTTGACTGAAATCATAGTGGTAACATCTAGAGAGGACAGTTTTTGTCAGTTGGGCTATTGACTGCATTTTGTGTCAGCAGATTTTGAGCAACTTTTTTAAAAGCAAGTCCAGTGGCTTCCAAGCTCATATTTTTTCTTTTTGCAACAGTGTTTGTGATTGGCTTCTTTTGTGTTGTATTTTAGATTTGGGGGCTACATATGATGCTTGGAGTCTGTGCAAAAGACAACTTTTTTTTATTTTGGGTTTTGTTTCTCAGCACACATATCTGACTGACATGTAGAGTGAATCAGAAAGAATGCAGCAGAGTATAACTGTAGAGAGGGACAATTGGTGAGCTTTGTAGAACAAGTGAGAGTTGTGATGTGGGTGTTTTTATTAATATATACATTTGAGGATGCATGCTGTGGATCAGATTTCTCATATTTCTTTGGACCATATTGCTTGTACTTTTCTTCTGAAATGAACTTCAGTCAATTTCTGATAGAATTGCCTCCTTGTCTGAGAAGAATTATTCATAATTTGGAAAAGTCCATCATTAAAATTAATTGACACAAAATATGTTGTTTTTTAATAATATTTGCTACCAAAATACACAGTATATGATCCGCTTATTATAAGCCAAGCCACAACTGAGTTTGATGTTCACTAGGTGCCCCATTACTGTGGCTTTGTGTCAGGACTAAGCTGGGCTTAATAAACAACTTTATTAGAGAAATAAAAGTAGGCATATCAAAAAGTCATAAAAATGTACACAGTGACTAAAAAAATATACAACCCTAAAGTAATATCACATGTAAACAAAAAAAATAACAAGGTTAATCAACTCAAGGACAAACAACCACTCCTTCTGTTGACAGATGGTTGGTAGGACTTAATGTATACTGATTCGAAAACCTTCAAGTGCTACTCAGTATTAGCCTTACACTGCAATGAGTAAGCCTATAAGACTGGGCATACTGCTAGTTTTTAACAAATGTTCACCTATGGCCAGGACATGTTCACAGTGCAGAATAAGGCTAATACTGTTTTTCACTTGAAGCTTTTAGAATCAGTATTCATTAAGTTCTACCAACCATCTCTGTCAGCATTATATTATTGCTTTTATTGCTCTTATAATTAGTAAACATTAAGTTCTGCTGATGTACTGCTCAATGTATAAAATTAACTTAAGCTACATAACTGGGGTTTCTTCCCTCAAATATTGCTTCTACACAACAGTAAGAGAAATAGGATCTGGTATCTACTACAAAGGCCAAGGGAATCGGGCAAGTACTAACATTGAATTATAAAATATTAGGTTGTTACACAGATACTTAGACCATGTATCACATTGTGACAGTGAGGACAAATAAATACTTACCTGATCATCTGGTTATATGAAAATAAAATGGTATAACGCAGAGATTTGTTCAATTACAAAAGCTCATTCAGAAATTTCATAAAACACTTCCTTTTTTTTAATTGCAGTGTATCAACCTTTGTTAAATGTTTACATTTGAAATAGATCTTACCGGTTTGAATACAATCAGAAAACCAGCAACAGTTGTGCTTTTCTATTTTTCTTATACATATTGATACAATCAACAACTAATTTGTACTTCTCTCTCTCTCAATTTATAAATGCAATATGCATATATTAATAAAATTTTGGAGTCAAAATTTATGCCCCACTCACAGATTTCAAAGTTTCTTCATTGCTTAAGAGTATCAAGACAAAAATTATAATTACCATTGCATTAGTTTTAATCATGTGTTTTACTTTTTTATTTATTTTTTAAACTAGGTTCACTCCAAGCAAGGCAATAAAGCTACTGAAACACAAGGGGTTACTAGGAGTGGAAGTGCTAGAAACAATAAAACATTGCTAAACAGTGAGAAGAAAAGAGTAATCAGGAGGACAGTAGATAGTGAATGACATTGCATTTAAATTTTTACAGATTAAAGTTGGCTGGAAATCATGGAGCTGAAAGGTAGTTCCAAAAGTGAGAAGTCCAAGAAAAGAAACTGTTAGCCCAGAATTTATGGTTGCATCTAGCTAACTCAACTGTAAATTGAGGAAACCTCATTACCAGTCTAGTACTGTGCTTAAATTCAAAGAGTTTAGGCACCATAGCAAAGAGCTCATCTGAACAGTTAGCATGAAAGTATTAAAGAAAAGGCACAGAGAGGCAACCTTATGGCAGTGGGAAAATGACTGAAGCTGAGAAACCAGATCAGGGCCAATAATATTGCTGATCCTTCTTTGAATTTTATCAAAGAGTTCTAGATAAATAGCAAGAGCATAGGACCATATGTGGCAGCAAAATTCTAAGCCTGGAGACATAGATATGCAAGATAGATTCTGGAGATAAAAATACTGTAGTATGATACTGTGAACCGACAATTTTAGCAGCTGACCTAGCAAGAGATTCAATATAGTCTTCCTACTTCATGTCAGATGAGAACTTTAGCCCAAGAAGGTGTAATGAGTCAAAAATCTGGAGGTCAGCATCACCCTTACTAAGGAAAGGCAGAGAGATTGTTAAAAGAGAACAGTTTATGTGCTAAAAATATCAAGCCCCAGTTAACAACAGACTGAAGGTCATTTTGGATATTAGTTGCTATTTTGACCTTATCAAACTTATTAGACTTACTATTGAGACAGGTGTAAATGACTGCGTCATCAGTGTAGATACCAAGTAGAGAGCTGATATCATCGGAAGGTCTACAATGAAAATCAAAATCAAAGTAGGAACAAGGATGGAGCCCCATGGGACACCTGCATTAGTACAAAAGGAACTGAAAGTGTGGCCATTCAGGATTACTTTCATTTTATGATTTGATAGGAAGGATTGGATCAATTCAAAAATTTGTCCAGAGACACCTTAACTTTTCCACATGTGGAGAGGACCTATATGCCAAACCTGGTCAAAAGTTTTTGAGATGCCCAAAGCTACAGCCCAAGCTTCACCATTTTTATATAGAGCTTGATAGACTCTTTCCTCAATTATATATAAGTAATTTACATTTTTTTGAATCAGTTGCATAGTTTTTGCATGGCAGTGTACACAATGGATTAGAGAAGAATGTTGTTCTCCTCTATGATAGTGAAAGGCTGTGTACAGAAAGTACACAGGAAAAAATTTGGAACTTTGTCTGTTCTACTCAACATTCTATATTTTCTTGACCATGAACCAATTACTGTTTCAATTACCACAAAAAAAACTTTTTGCAGAAAAATCTTTTTCTGAGAACCAAATTCATGAATTCAAAACTTTTTCATGTCAAAACCTATAGAATTTTATTTAAAAGATATCAAAGAGCTACTGATAAGTACTAACACATCACTGCAAATAATAATGAATATATAATTGAATTAAATGGAATTGTACTTTATTTTCTTTTAAGAATAAAGTTGATAATCTAAAACTGAAATTATGATTCAACCTAATAGTCTTGGTCATCTGGAGCAATAATCCCCTCTCTTTTATGGGCAAGTGTCTTGTATTCAGTTAATAATTGTTAATTATGATCAACTGTTATTTATAGTCAGTTATGATAAATGTCCATTTTGAAAATTATTATTTACCTCCAGATAATCAACTAGAAACCATATAGCAAGCAACCAGCTTGAAACCCATCATCAACTGTGCAATTTATCAGTCTATCATTAAAAAGCTGATAAACCATTTCTACTACTTGAAACTTTTCAACCTTTCATCAGTGAAATCTAAAATCACATATTTAAAAAGTGTTAACATGAAGTGTTTCAATTGCATTACCAAATAAGAATGATTAGGGCTTAAATTATACTGTTCATATTTTTACTTGATTTCTTACTAATTCAGTGAGGTCAACATAAAAAAAACATATCTGACATCTTAAAAAAGAGCACTTAAAGAAGAATTTATCTTCATATTTTTGTTAACTCAAATCATCAAAACCATGACAAACTTCCACATGACACAGATTGACTTTGATCACAAAAGAAT